CTGCTGCTGCTGCGGCTGCCACTACAACCACAACCACTCCACTACCACTGCCACTACCACTTGCCACGACCACTTCCGCGAGCACCAACACTACCACCGCCACTGACACCACCACCACCACCACCACCACCACTTCTTGTTCTCCTGCTACTACCAGTACTGGTACTAGTACCAGTGCTAGTACTAGCACCCATCATTTTACCATTCATTTCGCCGAAGTATCGACAGCAAGCTGCAGAAACCTAAGCCTAAACAGTCGGATCCTCATCAGAGGATCCCGAAACAAGGTTCCCGTTACTGTGAACCATAAGCCCTCAAACCCTAAGCTCTGTAGCCACCCTTCTACGGGGCCTTCGTGACAGCCAGGCGGGAGAGAGTCAAAAAGCATTCAATTCAAGCCTAAACCCTACACGCAGCCGGACACCCTACACCCTACAATTCAGACGCCCATCCAGGTCCCTCCAGCAGGCTGCAGAAACTGCTCCGGCTGGTGGGTTTGCTGGACGGCGAGGCCGACGGTGGACGGTGGTCGCCAACCAGGCTCTTGGTTCCAGGTTTATGTAGGGGTTGGGGTTTGAGGATTCAGGGCAGATATAAGAGAAGGGCTCAGAGGCTTTAGAACTTGAAGTTGAATTTTTGAAGGGCTTGTATGTTTCGTGCTTGAGATGGACAGTACTGGGGTTCGTGAGGACGGCTTGAGACAGTGATCAGATGTTTTCTCCGAGTGCATTCCACTTAGGTGAACGCTTGCTTACGTTGTTGCTCGTGTTTGTGGCTGCCCATTTTGTTGTCGTGACCGTGGCTATCAGGCGCATTGCTTACAATTTCGCTTTCTCTGCATATAATAGGTTAAAGTACAGTAACCATCCTATACTACCACATACTATCGAGGCCTTAGCCTCTAAACCCGCGACTTCATACCCTGTTCATCCAGAAGCCAAGTTCTACGGTTTCGGGTTTAAGTCTTCAACCTCCAAATAGCGTGGTCTCGCACATGGGAACGTGCGATAGTTTGCTATAATGTGCTAGTGCTAGTGCTGGTCTACGACAGTGTATCATCTCATATTGCAGCATCGTCTAAAAGATTTCGAGTTGGAAGCCCCAACAGATGAGAGGAGTGCATAAAGGAGTTGAAGACCTCAGCACTGAAATCTGCAGGTGCACAACCTCGGCAACATCAAGCCACCCGAAGAGGATGCAAAACAGACCCCCGCCGAGCGCAGCATCAACCGAAATTCGGTTCGGTTGAGCAACCTCCCCTCTGGCCAAAGAGCTAGCACTGCACTGCCTGCGGGAAGACAAGGTGGTGTGTCAAAACATCTCAAGGAGCCTTGCATAGTCGGATGTTGAACCTGGCGTCGGCTTGGTGACTAAGTGTATCGGGACTAGGAGTTTGGGATGCCGAGTCGAGGATCGGCTCCTCAACCCTGCAATCCAGTACTATAAGTACCCTAAGCTGGCCCAAACCGTAAGAGCTTAGATGTGGTCCTTTGGGCTTGTCGGTGATGGGATGCTGTGTTCTGTTTTCACGCCGACTTCGCACCGTGAGACCTCGCCTGGCTTGTGAGAGCCTAAACCGTAAGAGCTACCCATCGGCTCCTTAGAAGTTCCTTTTTGGGATTACGTTGTGAGATTCTAAATTCTAAATATAAGCCACAAAAAGGAACTACTCAGGAGCCTATGGGTACACAGCAGCCACGATTGGTTCCCAGATTCCCCAGGTGGCAAGGTCGGAAATCTCGACGATCTCTTCGACGAGGAGGAGCTCAGTCTACAGGTAGGGCCGCTGAAGATTAGGGTTTAGGTTTTAGGGTTTAGGTTTTAGAGTTTAGGTTTTAGGATTTAGGTTTTTGGTTTTTGGGCTTAGGGTTATAATGAGGGCAAGGGGGAGATCCTGATTGGGAGACAACGAAGCTCTGACCCACGAAGACTCAAAATCCTGCAGTGGACGGCGCAAAAAAGCAGAAACAGTCAAGGACCGTCCGGCCCTAAACCTTAAACCCTAGGGTTTAGGGTTTAGGGTTTAGGGACCCTAAACCCTAAACCCTCTACCCAAGCAAAATCTGCAAGGTGGGTGGCAGTGGCAACGCTTCCAGTGACGCCCAAGCCTGGAAAGGATGGTACAAAATCAAAAGCAAGGCGAAGACCGCCGATGCAGCTGAACTCGAGGCTGCCCCAAACCTGGTTGTTTTAGGTTCAGGGGTGTAATATAGACTAATAATGATTACAAATTGTATTCCTTAAAAGTTCCTTAGTATGCTTATACTAAAAGAAGGAGCTCAGAACCCTGTTCCAATTATCCAGGCTCCTGCACTGTTTCTTGAGGAGCTTACTCCTTGCGGTCTGCAAGTTGTTCCCAGCAGCGCTATAGTTGGGCGTTTGTTCCTCGTTGAGCTGCCGCTTTTGAATTTGCGTTCAGCTGCAAGTCCGCGGAGCATTCCGTAGCCTTGGTTTAGGGGAGGGACCTTGTCGCCTTTCTGACACCGCCTGTTACTGCAGCAACCGTTGAAATCTTGCTCGATTTCTCCTACATTCATGGAAAAAGGTCACATTAAGGTTTTCTGCACGTATATACACACACATATATATATACAAACATAAAATGCATAATACATATCCACAGTCTTATCGTCTTATCGTATTCGTTTATCCGCGGTACTCGGAACACCTACTTCGGCGAGTGGGAAGCTCTGAATCTCAAGCCCTTCAGCCCAAGACCCAACCCTTCAATCCTAACTCCAGACCGAACCAAGACCTCAAAACCCTAACTCCTATACCTTGGATATTGCCCCCCACTCAGTAACATTTCAGTAATATTCAGAATATGGTTATATATATATATATACGGCCCTTAATGGTAGCCCTATTATAGACTCTTTACTGTATGGGGGCAGTACCCAACCTAAGCCCATCTTGCCAGAGGCCGCTGCCTTCGGCGCGCGTCCCACTTCCATCCTGGAGACTCTCACCACGGCGCCTGCCGAGCAGACTGGTGCTTCGAAGGAAGTCATTGAGGCTGCTGGAAAATGGCAGGCTGTTTGCGAGGAGAAGGGGCTGTATCTTTAATGGGCTTTATTCGGGAGCAACTTGTCTGTTCGAGGCTGTATAGGGGTGAGGGTTTAGGGTGGGGGGTTCCAGTTCCAGAGCAGCTTCGGCAGCAGCTCTGGCGTATCGGCCTCGGTCAAGATAATTGCAGGTTGTGGTCTAGCTAGACTCTAGACGTGAGTCCAGTACCAAGAAGGGTGGGGGGTTCCGTTTGGTTTTTGCTGTCTAAGGCTTACGGCTTCTGGGGTGTGGGGTTCTTTCGGCTTGAGGGGTTGGGGAGTTGGGGTTCGAAGGGGTTTAGAGTTGAGGACTTAAGCCTTGAGGGCTTAAGGCCTGGGACTGCGGTTTATGAGCGGCATAGCTCCAGGTGTAATGTTTCTTGATTTGTACGAGTATGCTACAGGAAGGCTTACTGATAAGAGAATTGAAGGAACAGTTGTGCCAGGAGACAGAAGCAGCGACGGAAGAGAGCACCAATTTCGCCAACGACCTGCCACCTGGGATGGGTAAGCTTGCGGCCATGTTGGTGAATCGCTTTGGTTCTTTGGAGAACCTTGTCCATTCAGAACTTGACAGCTGCTCTGTCGTTTTTTCAAAACATGTTCTGTATCCCACAAACTGAGTTCATCCACTCCTCTCCTGCTCCTACCCCTACCCCAACTCGTACTGACGTACTGCACAGCTACTCCTATCTGCTCCTGCTGCTACTACTCCTCCCCCCACGGGTACTCGTACTTCTCTTTTCACTCCTGCTCCTACTCTTTCCCCTATTACTGAGCCGACTGCTGCTACTACTGCTACTACTACTGCTACTACTACTACTACTACTACTGCTACTACTACTACTGCTACTACTACTACTACTACTATACTACTAATGTTACTACTACTACTACTAATGTTACTAC